CGCTTATCAACGCTCCCTTGTCTGAGTAATTGTCAGTTGGCTGATTTTATTATTGTCCATCTTTTAGCTACACTCTAATCGACTGAAAAAGGAGGCCGCCCGTGCGGAAGCGACCTTTAAATCCGAGAAAGCTAAGGCCGACAAGGCCATGAAAAACCGCGAATTTCAGATCGCCCGCATCCATGCCGCTTCTGCCGTACGAGAAAAACGCAGACAGGTGACCCTCAAGGCGGAGGCTGCCAGAGCAGATGTCATTATCAACGAGCTCAAGGCTGCGCAGAGCACTCGGGACACGTCTCGGACGCTTGCATTGGCATCACGGGGCCTGGATGCTGCTTCCAAGAGTGTAAATCTTGAGAGCTTGGTTTCCCATGCGAACAATTTCCTGGCGCGCTCCGAAGATTTCAAAATTGCTAGCAGTGCGATCGAGGATGTTGCGCAAGGGATCTCTATGCAGGAGAATGGCGCAGAGGGTGAAGCCGATGTGGATCGCCTGATGGAGCAACTTGCTGATGACGCTGGGGTGGATCTTCGGATGGCTTTGGAGCAGGATGCTGCTGCTGCTCCTAAGGAGGAGGTTAAGGCTCCGAAACAAGTTGACACTGAAGTTGAGGATGGCTTGGATGCTAGGCTACGAGCTCTCAGGGCGACCAACTGAATTTCAACTACTTCGTTTCTATCGTCCTCTACTGTCACGTTAACTTCGGTCTTGTACTTGTTGATATGCTTTCGGATTCGGCGAACTATAGGGGTAACTAACAGCGCGTTGGGTATTTTTAGGGTTGAGGTTCAGTTACTTTACGTATTGAGAGTATATTGTTCTGTGTGCGCTCATGACTATATGACCCATCACCATGCTATGCTTTACATGCTTTGTGGGTTCTTGCAATCTCTTTCGTTACATACCCGTGAAAATCGCACTTGCTGCATACATTCATCCCTTGCCATGCATTTGAAGGATTCCCAAATGGTCGGTCTTATAAGAGAGATGCACTTTTTCTCTGCACAGATACTGTTCGAGTGATATAGATACCTTTTCTCATATTGTCATCTTCGGTCCTTTCTTGAATTGGTACGTTTATTCCATACACGTGCTCTATTTTCTGTCCATGGACGATTATGGAGCATTGTTAAAAGGAGAATATGTTTTTTTTCCCATACACTCATCGTGGGGTACCATCGTCTATTCAAGACAAGTGTTTCAAGGAGCGCTGACATGGTCAGTTTGTAGGAATATGGCCGCTAGTTAATAATACATATAAAAAAGGGTGTACAGAGGAAATTCTCAGTAGGCGCAGCATTATACTTCCTTACCCCTTCACGGCTATTGTAGACTTATAGATTCTAAATAAAAAGCGTTATTCAACGAGCAAGCCCGGCTAGCTCAATCGGTAGAGCGTGAGACTCTTAATCTCAAGGCTGCGGGTTCGAGCCCCGCGTTGGGCTTTCCTTTTTTTCCCAGAACAAAGTATGTTCTGTCAACTCACCACCCGGCTAACACGAGTTGTCCTTCGTTTTTCTTCTTCCACCCGTCTTTTGCTATGCTTGTTTGTACCTTATGCTGCCAATTCAATCGACCTCTCGTAGGCATTCTTACAGTTCTAGCATAGCTGAAACACTTTTCCAAAGCCACAGCCGTTTCCTTCCAGATGTTGTTCCGCCGCTGTCTATGAATGCCGCGTAAAATATGTTTCCGTGATCGTTCATTCATCAGCCACTGAGCCACATTTGATCCGGGCCGTGTCATCTTCATGAGCCGGTAGTATGTTTCCAAGACCCAGCCACGAACGTTGGGATAGCGAGAAGGCTATATACACTCCATAACCACAAAGCTGCTTGAGTTAATTATTGTAACAGGCGATGGATAGCTCCGCTGCGTTGGATCCCAACAAAGCATCTCATGGTCGACAAGCCGCCTGCTTGAACTGTAGGAAAAGCAAGGTCCGGTGCAATCGAGGCCAGGATGATGCGTCGTGTAACAGATGCAAACAGGCCAATGTTGAATGCATCATCCCCAGTCACCATGTCGGTAGACAAAAAGGGGTCAAAAAGTACGCGTTAAACGCATTGATCTTCCCAGGACCATCAAGCTAACCTGGTGAAATTAGCAAACGCAAAGGCCTAGAGAAAGCATTACATCAGATTAAACAGGCCATAAAGAGACCGAGGAGCGATGCCTCAGGGTCTAAGGCAGCCCAGAAGCTCATATCAGACCTTCAAGAAATGCTCAGTAATACACGCGAACAGCATTTACATAGCGAGGCGGACGACCAGTCCGAGGATCTTGACCGGTCCTATACATACCATTCGCCCCGGGATAATATCGGCGATAATCTGTCTCTAGATGATGCAGAGAATCCATTGCAACTACTCGCACGTGCCTCTGACCTGCAGCTGTCGCCGACTGAGACGCGTGGTGCACACAAATGGCCACCTTCAACATTTCCACCCGCAGGCATGCTGCAGAACAGCACCGAGGAAAGCGACCCTGCCGCGCAATCATATTTTGTTCCCATCAGGGCAAGCCTAGATGTTGGCCCGGATATAGACCCTATCGACATCGGTCTTGTAACTCTGAGTGAAGCCGAATCGCTTTTCTCCTTGTATGCCCAGACTGCGTTAACTATATTTGTGCCTTCATAGCTTACCATTGATGCTAGCTTTTACCAGAACCTCGCACATACTCGATGGGGCCTTGACCCCTTGGTCCATACTGTCTCGTTTGTGCGGGCCCAATCCGCATTTCTATTCACCTCAATCATGGCCGCAGCTGCACTGTTCTTGCCATCTGCTACAGCACTGTCGAAGCGGCTATCAAGACACTGCAAGACATTGGCCCAGAATGTCATTGTCCGACGCCACAGATCTGTTGAAATCGTCCTAGCCTTCATGGTAAATGTTCCATGGATGGAGCCAGGTAGTTGCCTAGGTGATGACGATACATGTTCCTACATTGCCATGGCTCTAACTGTTGCTTTGGATCTTTCGTTGAACAAGATTGTGCTTCCATCATCTAGCTTTGAGCAGAGCCTACTTAGGAGACTCGCCAAGGCCGAGACTATCGATGCAAAAAGAGCTCTATACATGGACCGATTTGATGGCGTAGAACCGACATCTGCGTGGGGCCGAAGACTTCTTCGAAGGCGCGAGAGAACTTGGATAGCGCTGTTTGTTCTTGAAAGAGGGTAAGCATTTCACCAGAAGCTCTGCTATTATACCTGGAAGGCACTGCCACCACACCAGCCAGGTTCTTCCATACCACACTTCTCTCGTGACACACCCTGCTGCCTACCTCGGAGAAGGGTAATGCTTTCCCCTAATAAGGTATTTCTCTTAGTACAGACAGAGGCCCTTCTATCTTCCTGATAGAGAGTTTACCTATCCGAAGATAGAATTCTGCCTCGGGCTTGAAATTGATCAAAACTACAGATAATAGAGCCTCTGCCCGTACTAAGAGAAATACTTTACAAGGAGAGAGCCTTACCCTTCTCCAAGATAGGCGGCAGGTTGTGACATGAGTGAAGCGTGATGTAGAGGAACTGGCTGGAGTGGCGGTAGCGTCTTCCTTATACATAGGTGTAGCACCCGTCTAATCTTTGGCTTGCAGTGTATGTTTAGCTCGCGGACGAAGCTATACAGTTCCTTCGACAGCCCTTATAAACCATTGCGATAAGTGGCATGTGTCTGATTTTGCAGACTCGCGCGATGGCCCGATGAATTCCATGGCTGTCCTCAGACGGAACCTGGTAAGTACACTGGCGGTCTCATGCGTACGAAAGGACCTTCCTGACCGGAGCGAATAGGATGGTCTCTTCCTGAGAGTAAAAGCCAATTGCGATAGCCACCAGGCCACAGATGCCGGGTCTGAGGTGGCGCAATCGTACGTGTTCACCCCACAAGTTGTGAACCCGCGAATAACTCACGGTGTACCCAGGATCAAGAATATAATTGAAAGCTTCTACGACCAGTGGTATGAGATATGGGCATCCGAGATAGGGGAAGGTCACTGTAAGTCCCTTGTAGGGGTGTGACAGGCTCACAATAACCATTGTACAAACGGCTAATCTACATCAAGCACGCACCCTTCCACCCTATGTGGAGATTCTTGTAACACATACGAGATTATCGACATATGGTGGTGTTATCAATCACCCTACAGCGCCCGTGGAAGTCAAAAGATTCTTTCGTGCCGCCGGCCTTTCTTCTGCACTAAACGTCTTGAGAGCAGCTATACAAGGAGAGGCGCGATTGAAGTCTATGCCCAACAACACAGTCATCATGATATCCTTTGCTGCATGCTCAGCACTTAGTCTTAGCGTCATGCCAGAAGACAGCAGGTCTAGTTTGGCGCCGAGTGTTCATAATCTGATCGAGGAAACTGCAGGTGTCCTCGAGCGTATTGGAGCTACTACCCGCCATAGGAACGGCGCCTCTGTTCTCTATGGGCGCTTTTTAAGGGCGCTTGTCAGACGCGCTCCTGTCAGCGCAGGCTCCCAGAATGGACCGCGGGGCTTGGTCGAAACGGGGGCCCTACAACCTCCGCCAGACTTGGATGGGTATTGCCCGGTGGCTTCCGGGACACAGCCATCTTCGATACCGTCGACTTTTATATGGCCTGAACCACTCAGATTTTCCGCCATGTCCGATGACCAGATCATAGACGCAGTGAACCGGGCTGGCACTGCATTTGGGACGACTGTGCCTGACGTCCCACTGGATGACCTAATGACTTGGGACTGGTTCGACGTCGGAAATGCGGCAGATTTTGGCTTCTGAATGGGTGGAAGCTTGCGCGCAGATCGGTGGCTACGCGGATCGATGAATGATTTCATTTCTAGTTCCGATCCGAAGGGTCCTGGGAGCTCCGCCGCTCGGCGACTAGAAGTAGCACCGAGTGCCGAGGGGTGCCGTTCTCAGCTTCCCATATTAACCAGCCCGATTCCCTGCTTTTTTTTTTTTTTTTTTTTTTTTTTTTTTTTTTTTTTTTTTGGATAGCCTCTGCAACACTTTTTCGACTGCTATACAGATTGTTCTGTCGCCACGAGGGAAAATGGCAACCATTCGATTATCTGCGTTGGTCTTGTCGCGAAGGTTGATGGTTCGTCCGCAATGCTATCGACGGTCGCAACCACTCACGAGCCTCTATGCGCCTCCCGCTACTAAAGCCGGTAGCCGGGCCAGATACTCAACTTCTACACAGGAGCAAGCTCCGCGGGCTCCGAAGATTGATCGTGCCGCTTCAAAGTTATTCAAAGATGCGGATGCGGCCGTGGCAGATCTGAAGAGCGGGTCAACCATTCTTAGTTCAGGCTTCGGCCTATGTGGTGTCGCAGGTAAGGTCTCTCCTCGCGCTTTGCCAGATTATTATACAGTTTGACTGACAAAGAAATCTACTGTAGAAACGTTGATCTCTGCGATACACCGCAGAGGGGCCGAAAACTTGCATTCCTTGACGGCGGTTTCGAACAATGCTGGTCTCGCTGGGAAGGGCGGGCTGTCTACCCTAACGCAAGCTGGACAGGTCAACAGACTCATACTTTCCTACCTGGGAAACAACAAAGCTCTGGAGAAGAAATACTTGACGGGAAATATTGCCATCGAACTGTGTCCACAAGGCAGTCTGGCCGAGCGACTACGTGCTGGAGGAGCTGGGATCCCCGCATTTTATACCCCCACAGGAGTTCGTGAGTTTTTGATCACTAAGGGATACATGATATAACTTACTGAATCATTTTTGGCAGATACTCTGCTTCAGAAGGGAGAGATCCCGGTGCGTGTGGACGAATCCGGAAAGGTGCTCGAGCATGGCAAGCCCCGCGAGACAAGGGAGTTCAATGGCAAAACTTATATGATGGAGACTGCACTCAATGGGGATGTGGCGATTCTCAGAGCATGGAAGGCAGATGCTGCAGGAAATTGTGTTTTCCGGTAGGCATTTTTTCAATGCTCTCTTACATACGAGGAAATGCTAATGATGTGTCTTAGTTACACTACGAAGGCATTCGGCCCCATCATGGCGAAGGCAGCAGCCCTTACCATTGTGGAAGCCGAGAACATTGTCCCCGTTGGCTCAATCGACCCTAACGATGTTGATCTACCGGGAATATTTGTTGATAGAATCGTCCCCGCAACCGATGAAAAGCATATCGAAATCAAGAAATTGCGATCTGACAAGGGTGTTGAGGAGGCAAACAAGAAGGCAGAGGACGCTGCGACTGTCCTGCGGAACCGGATCGCCAAGCGGGCTGCTCGGGAACTCAAGCAGGGATACTATGTTAACCTCGGTGTTGGTATTCCTACACTGGCCCCCTCATTTCTGCCCGAAGACGTAAAGGTTTGGATCCAATCCGAGAACGGTATCCTGGGAATGGGACCTTACCCGACCGAAGAGGAAGTTGATGCGGATATCATCAATGCCGGCAAAGAGACCGTCACTCTGGTACCGGGCGCTTCCACATTTGATAGCAGTGAGTCGTTTGGAATGATCCGCGGCGGGCATGTAGATGTGTCGATCTTGGGAGCTTTGCAGGTCGGTGCGAACGGCGACCTGGCGAACTACATGATTCCCGGCAAGGTGTTCAAGGGAATGGGAGGAGCCATGGACTTGATCTCCAACCCCGAGAAGACCAAGATTGTGGTTGCCACCAGCCACTCGGCAAAGGACGGATCTCCGAAGATTGTGGACCAGTGTAGCCTTCCTCTGACTGGCGCCAACTGTGTCAGCACTATTATCACTGAACTGGTAAGTGGGAAAAGAGCACTGGCCAATGACGGCAATCAGCAATCTTTTAGGGAAGGAAAGACAGAGCTAACAGCGGACTATAGTGCGTCTTCCAGGTCGACCGGGCCAAGGGCGAGCTTCTGTTGACGGAACTGGCCCCAGGCGTGGAGGTCGAGGAGATTCAGAACAAGACTGGGGCGAAGTTCACGGTTGCGGAAAACCTGGAGATCATGGAGTAAAATGAGTCGAGGCTGTATATACATGTTATGAACCGCTCCTTACCTGTAAATCTACTTCTTTGGTTATATATATTGTCAAGGCAAAGGGGCAAGGGATATGGATTTGATCTGTCTGATCTCCAGAGATTGGGTTGCATGGATGGGAGAAGTAGTGGTCAGAGACCACGCAGGAAGAAGAGGAGGCAAAGGATCAGCTGGCCCTGGCTGGAGTGAAAGTCTCAACATTATGCGGAGTATCATTCATTACTCTTGCCCGGCCTTCTTCATCTCATTGATCCATACCGTGACCAGGAAACCAACCACACACATGATAGAATAGATTAATGATATACTTAGTACTACTGCATGCAAGCTAAGGTGAACTTATCCAGCTTTCAAAGACTGTATTGTATGTATCTATATTGAAAATACTCCAGAGAACCAGTAGTAGTACTAGCTACATAGCCGACGACCCCAAAAGGGCATTTAAGAGACGTATAAACTGGCATCTATTCTGTTATTACCCTCTCCAATGTCCTTTCTTGCCAACATAGAGGAGATAGAGATGCGGCATATGTATCATGTTTGCAATTGCACCTCCAGGAGGACATTCGGAATGGCGGTGCTATTCGCCGGCATGGAATAAGTGAAGTTCCAAAACCTAAAGTCACTGTGAAATGGGTTAGCTTATTGGTCACCAACCAAACAAGGCGCTAGAGGCTTTAATTACTTGATGACTTGATCGCTCAAGCTATACGAAATGTTCAAGCTGTTCGGGTTCATATTGCCCGACACGGTAACATCCAGGCCGACAATGTCCTCCCAGCCGGCCACATTCCTCTGGGTCTCAAACGGAGATACCAGGAACTGAAACTGGGATGCCGACGTTCCTCGTGGATAGGTCAGGTTCAGGTAACCGGGTCCAACCTCAGCAGTCAGGGCCGGCTCCGTCGCATATAACTGTGGAATGTATGTTAGTCATGGCTGTCAGGTCAGCATCGTTGTTATAGGAAGAAAAACGCACTGTTATCCACCCTATCCCAGCCCCAGTATCCCACTGAATGACAGCCGGGTTAAACTGTGATGGATTAATAGCCGGGCCACCGACAACAGACTCATTGAAGGTCTCTGCTCCAATGCTGATGCCTTCACTCAGCCACGCAGTCACCTGTCGAGGGAACGAGTCATATGGAATAGAGTAAGCGGAAGTGTTGACCGTATGCTCACCAGGGAAGGCCTTCAGGGCTTGGACGGCCGATGACGGGACAAGCGAGTTGTGAAAGTTCGACAGGATAGCTATCAGGGGTGAGATGGAAAAGTCGGAGTTATGAGACATCATATACACCTTGTGTTTTATCGGTTGTTAGCGCCCAGTCCCAACCAACGCAGTAATAGTCCCTTCTCCCGCTCCTGCTCACCTTATCAATAACCGGGGAAGTCTCTTTCCCGACCAGAGACCAAATATGTCCCGACATGATACCAAAGTACTTTTGCATATCAAACCCATAAGCTCGATCCCAAGGACCAGCGAGGTTCTTCAACCCAGCATGATACAGCTCCCCAATGGTGTCCCATGTATCCTGCAACATCTCTTTCCCTTTCCCCTTCATGACCGAGTCCTCTGCAGCATACTTGGCCCACATGGTTAGCGCAATCAGGGAAACGCCCGTGTACGTGGCACTGTTGAATTCCGAAAGCGTATCTGCGCGATCGAACAGCTGGATGATCTCCTTTGCGTACGTCTCACCGGAATTGGTCATATTCTGGTCACCAAGTTTGCGTCCCGTCCAGCCTGTGATGATGGCACGCATTAAGGACTGCGCAGCCAATTAGTCAGTTAACGCTCACTTATTCGTATGAAGAGTTAATGATTCCTCACGCACCGGGTTCGTATACGAGGGATACAAATTATCATCATCTACTCCACCGACGCGATAACTATCCCCGGTCGTGTCATTGTAAAGCGAGGCATGCATCAGCTGCGTCATATCTGCATCGATCAGATGCGGGAACTCCTCGAGCGCAATGATAAAGGCTGTGCCGATGAACTCTCTCCAGTTCGGGTCCCAGGTATCGTAGATAATGGGCGGGTATGCTGGGGTTCCTACTGTAGGTTCTTCAGGGTACTGCTGGTAGTCTCCGTACCTGTGTGAGATGCATAGGCCGGCCGGTTAGTCAATTATTTTAAGGGGAAAATGAATCCCCAAGTGCCAATCACCCACCATTGATCACTTGTATCCTTGAACTGCGCACCTATCACATTTCGAATGATAGTCATGGCCTGGGCTACATCATCTCCTTGATCCCGAGCCAACAATCCCACGGCATACCACACGGACGTCCTGGTATCGTGTCGCAGCGCCGTCGCAGCACTCGGATCATAGACATATCCCGCCGAAGCATCGTATATCCGATCGAGGTAATCCATTGACTCTGTGAATAGCTGGCATGTATTTGTTGACCAGGATGGCTGGCACCAGTCATTACTATTGCTAGTACTGGCTGATACCGCCAGGGTAGTAGATCCGACGAGTGCGAGCACGAATGCTCTCAGATACTGCGACATTTTGTCTAGAAACATAACCAAAGAAAATCCGAGTTAATCCTCACAAAGTACGCACAAACAGCGAGAACAGGGAAAACCAGTGTTTTATCTACATCATCGCTTTCCATTTGCGGGGGAAGAACAACACAACACCACCGACGCCCATTATTGGTGCGAGTTCTTTTTCCCCCTCTCCCCCTCTGTGGGGTTCGGGTTTATCGCAAGATTTGTTTGTTGACTTCGGACTTTTAGCCGGACTGCATGGACTGATTGACTCTGTTATACTAAATTCTAATCAATCGGGTTGGGATCGGCCGAAATGCGGGGTTGCAGGCGAGCTAGCATTTCATTTATCCCAGTCCCTATCTATCTGCCTATCTATTTATCCCTTAAATTGTTCGATCACGGATAGATAGATAAGATAGAGTCATTAGGATATATGAAAAGATGTTACAGAGAGTCTAGGCGGCTTCTTCATCTTCATTCCTTGGTGCCGGTCGCCGCTGCTGCTTTTCCTTTCCGGCAAAACTGAGCAGCATGCCAATGTCATAGACAGCCTTCAAAATACCCGCAATGGTGAATGATAGCCCGAAAACACCTCGATCAGCCAAGATACCGGTCAACAGAGGTCCAAGGCTCTGGGCACAGGTTTTGACGACATTAATGGATCCCATGATAGCCGTGCGACGGTCCGGCGGCAGCGCTGCAGCAAGGAAGGCCGAGCGAGGAGCCACATCCATAGTTTGAGAGCAGGCGCGGAGCACCAAAAAGGTCAGCGCCAGCGGGAGAACCGAAGGAACTGGGATGAGTGCCAGACAAATAGCGGAGGGAAGATGAGTGAAGACCATGGTCTGCAGTAGTCAGCAAGAAGTGGCCTGATGTTGGAAAAGGATATATATCTTGGAGAGAGCGAACCTTGACATTGCCAATGCGCTTGGCGATGGATGAGGCCACCAGCACAGAGGCCGCAGAGATAAGGCTGGTTGTGAAGAAGATGGATCCGAGTGACCCTTCAGGGAGGGAGAACTTGCGCTTAAAGAAGTATGTCATCCACGACCTTTAGGACATGTCAGTATCATCGAATCATATAATTTCTGGAACCACTCCTCTTGGTGGATACATACAAAGATGCTAGTCCAGAAGCGAACGAGTCCAATGCGAACAGGATCGCAAGTCGCAGAAACAAGGAGACGACCTCGGAATCGCCGAGGAAGGAAAGGATCGATTTCTTCTTCTGAGGCTGCTGCTCTTGAGGGGCGGCGTTGGCCGTTTGATCGCCCAGAAGAGGTTGTCTTTCACCATCATTACTAGACCGTTGCGCAGGCTTCTTCTTCTCGGCCTCGACAGCGGAGCTCAATGCAATAGACAGGAGAAACTTGAGCGCGCCGATAGCGGCGTAGGCAAAAAAGATGATTCGACAGGCGGGAATATAGGGCCATCCCCAGATTACCTGAAGCAAGTTGATGGCCCATCCACCGGTCATCATGCCCAGGGCTGTTCCCGCATTGCCAATCAGCGAGTACCAAGCGAAGATATCGCTCAATATCTCTTTGGGGGTTAAATGGGCCAAAGTTGATTCTTCGACAGCCCGGAAGGGGCCAATTTCGTTTCCACTGTTATTGAGATTGTGAGCACGTATGCCCAGACATTGTCGGGGATGCTATAAATAGTCGGATGTTTCGCTCGGATTTCGGAAAACTCACCTCGGACTTATGACACCGAAGACGGCCGCCGCCAGAAGGACCCAGTAATTGCCGACCGAAGCAAAGAGGATGCCGCTGCCGACCATTAAAGCTGAACCCAGGGCGAGGACGGCCCTGCGACCCATGGCGTCGGCGAACAGAGTAAGGAGGAAGCTGATAGCAACATCGCCCACCAGGGTCAAGGTCATGAAAAGACCGATGCGTTCATCGGAGATATCCAATGCTGAGAGATAGGCAGCCAGAATTAGAGTTGAACCACCGTAAGCGAAGAGACGCACAAAGCGCTGGGCGCAGAGCAGTTTGACATCTCGAGGGGATTGCCAGACTGAAGTCAGGCCAAGTTCAGCGAGGATAGGGTGATGCACACGCGTTCCTCGCGAAGAAGCGGAGGAAGGTGGATCGGACGGAGCCGACATGATAATAATGCGCCCTTATGTAAAATAGGCAATCAAAACCCTCAATTGAGAAAGTATGGTAGTAAATATACAGTTGTAAATATAGACAAGAAGAAAAAGATGCAGAGAAGAGAGGGAAAAGAAAGCGAAGAGGGGGGAGGAAGAGAGTAGAAATAGAAGAAAGATGGAGGGGACGGGAAGGCGGGATTGAAGTTCTGCAGATCGTCTCCTCCAGGCAGCCAGGCACCCCATCCAGGGTCCAATCCAAAAACATCAATTAATCGGCTGTCATCAACGCCTCCAATTGGACCTCATTCAAGTTCCGCCATTAATGCAGTTAGAAGAAGTTCATCTTGCTCTGAAGTAAGTACTCCACGAAATACCCAGCATTTTGGTCAAATCATGTTGGAAGTTAGTATGTCTCGGCCAACATAACACGCCCTAATCCTTCCTCTGTCCAAATCTTTCTACTTCTAAACTGATCTCATACTCCTTTTTATCATAGTTAATTAGTTAATGATATCCCAGTCTCTCGTGTCTTATATTGACCCCTTCCGCTTCTCCATTTCACGTAGAAAGAGCTATTCCCTCATTGAGACCTTCACCTGTTGTAGCCACACCAGGACATTCAGTCTCTTATTTGCCAAACTACGGCCAAAAAGGCCCGATGTTGAATTTAGCTCCTCCTTACGAATTTATGAATATTTTCTTGTGTTCCACATTCCAATCTACTACGGAGCATTCAGCTGGTAGGTAGTTGTAGGTACTATAACAACCAGATGAGTAATAACTACCGAGGGTGGCCCACTAATAGGGCTGATAGACCCTCAGCCTTACATTAGAAGTCAACCATTTCAGACTTCATTCATCTAAACATCATAACCTACCCACAAAAGAAAAGTGATAGTAGCTGTAATGCTTATCAATATGAAATTAAAATAGTTCCATAGCGTTGCAAACTTGTGGCTCCTCGTCATTTATTCAGTTAACAATGCAGATAATCCAGAGTCGCGAGAGGGAAAGTCAAGCGAAGCGATGGACAGAAAACAAACCAACCATGGATCTTCCTACGCTCATGAGTACTGTTGTATATAACAATAAATCACAATTCACAGCATATAACATCCTCGATGGTCTAACGGTCATGATTTCCGCTTGTCAATCCCTACTGGGAACAAGCGCGGGAGACCTGGGTTCGACTCCCAGTCGGGGAGATGTCTTTTTGGTCTTTCTCTTTTTGAATCGTCCGGCCCTATCGGGCACCATAATGTCTTGGTCAAATTTTATTTTTGTAAAGGGTTAGATGACAGGAAACACGAGAATCAGAAAGGAGAAATCTATCATTATGTAAGGACAATATAAACGCTATTCTATTTACAAAAACGATCCACATCAAAACACACTCAACAAAGGCTCCAACTCTCATCCCTCTCTCAGTAACCGTTCAAAGCGATGCGGTCATAGGAGTTTCCGTCTTCGGCGGCCACTTGACGCGCCGTTCAGCACGCACATACAGGTTATTCGGCCTGATCAGCTGGAACATAGGATCGTACTCAATCGGGCCGTCAGTCTCCTTGGTGAACTTGTACCGGTACACCAGTTTCGGCAAGAACACCTTAACTTCTTGCAGAGCAAAGTTGAAGCCGATGCACATCCGAGGACCGGCCGCAAAGGGAATGTAGGACGATTTGTGTCGGTTCTTGACCTCTTCAGTATCCCATCGGTCAGGGTTGAAACGCGTCGGGTTGTCCCAGACGTCGGGATTGTTATGAAGGTGATGTAGTGCGCCGATGACGACCGAGTCTTCAGGCAGTTTGTAGCCACCAGGCAGAATCATGTCCACTTTGGCTGTACGCGCGGGTTGGTAGGACGGGTTGTGTCGGCGCTGGGTTTCTTTGATAAACTTGTCCAGGAATGTCAGACGGTCAGTCAGGTCAGCGGTGATTTGCGTATCGGCGTCGATGCCATTATCCACGAGCTCTTGCAGGAGCCTATCCTGCACACCAGGGTAGTTGACGAGACTGTAAATCAACCATGACAGCAGCGAGCTAGTGGTGGTGAAGCCAGCTCCAGTTGCGACAACCAGGGCTTGGATTAAGCTCGTTTTGGGCAGCTTTTCGCCTTTGTTATCCGTCGCCCGGATAGCGTAGTCTGTTCGGCAGTTAGCGGCGGTCTGGAAGGCGATAGCTCCGGGTTAACATACCGATCATGTTATGGGCTTTTAGGGCGGCATCCTGAAGTGGGAGATCCTCAACACCACCACGACTAGCGTTCTGGATGGACTCGTCGACAATGTTCCAGACCCGACCACGGATTTGTTGAAGGCGTTTAGGATCTCCGAAGGGCAGTTTGGCGTACCAGTCACCTCTGGCAGTGATCTTCTTATTCAGTTCAAGTGACTCGGCGATCAGAAGGATCAATTCATGCGGGGGTGCATTCATGTTGGAGAAGTGCTGGAAGTCAATGCCCAAGACTAGCTTTCCAACCGCCTGAGAGCCAAGCTTCAACATGTATTGATAGACATTCCACGCTTCGCCTTGCTCATCAAAGGCATCAAACACTTTGAAGGCATCCTCTACCGTCTGCTGCATGACTGGCGCATAATGACGGACAGCCTTCGGACCGAATGCGGGAGGGAGAAATTTATGGGCGGTTCTCCATTCAGGTGTGTCGGTGTCGCCGAGAAACACACCCGCTTCTTTGTTTTTGATTGCATGAAGCGGATGGGATTCATTGATTTTCTTAGTAAAGAAATCACTTTCCGAGAAAACAATCGCACTAAGTTCTGGGTCGTTCGTGTGGTATACCGTGCGGCCGTAATTAGTAGTCTTGAAGAGAGGCCCGTACTGCTCAAACAAGCGCTGGTGGTTGCCCAAGTGATCGGGATAGATTTCAAAGAAATTTCCAATTATCGGAAGCCCCTTTGGCCCTGGGACCTCTCTCACTGGTTTCCCATCAATGGCGATACTGATTGGGGTTTCAGAAGCGATGATCTCAGCCACACTGGTGAAGACGGCGTCTTCAGACTGAAAGCCAATGCCTAAAGTAGTCAGCTTGGAGGTGATGCTGGAAAACGATAACGAGAGCTAGGAGGTTTAATACCACTGGGGTCAACTATCGCAAAATGCGCAGCGATTAGGTTTCTAAGGCCATCATAATCTAGCGATGAGTCCACTTCGATCTCTCGAGCGGTTGCCACGGGCTCACCCAGGAGATGAAAAAGCTTTGCAGACATGATTAGTGTGGATGTTGAAAATGTCTCGACCGGCGGTTGGGGAGATTCTGCCTGCCAAGGGTCATCGTAGAGCTTTATAGAGAGTACGTACTATCTCCAATAAAACCATCCCCTTCGACAGACAAATCAGGGCGAACGACCCAGATTGACAATGAACCCACATAGACCGGTCATGGTTTTCGCTATCCACATAGCACGAAATGGAATGGTTTCTGGTTTCAGCGATAGTGCACGAATCGCGTTCATTCCAAAGACAATTATGCGCATAGACATTGAAGGCCTCGGTGCCTGCCTCGGTTGTTTCGTTAGTCGCCGTCACCGAAAACTCGAACTAACTGCAAAGAAGACAACGATCGCCACCCCAGTCCCACTGGCTAAGGAGTTTCTGCCATGAAAAGGAGAAGGCTATGGCAGGCTCAAACCAAGAGGTGGGTGGCTTCATCGGCTACGCCGTGCCGACCCTCCAGTCGGGCCGTTAAGCGTCAGACGTGGCCAATCTCCGAAGGAATGATACCGGCCGAGCTAAGCGTTGCGAGACTTTTAGCAACGCAATGTGGGTATCAAGTTGACAATTATGTCGCGCTTCATTAGACGCATACCGCTGCTATACCTCGGAATAAAAATTGGCAGTTATAATGCCAGAGCCCTGGTTCATTTCGTTCCCTCCCAGCAGAACGGTTATCCTTTAAATTTCACCAACTCTCCTTCAACCAAAAATGGCCCAACCTGAACCCTTGGACTCGACAGCCACAATGGGAGCTGATTCCCAGCTTGCCGAGTATACATTGGCCGATGTTGCCAAGCATAACCGCAAGGATGACATCTGGATTGCCATCCACGGGCAAGGTAAGGGCTTTCGAGGTGTTCACATGATGGGTTACTGAAGCTGTTACATAGTATTTGACATCACCGAGTACCTGCAGGACCATCCAGGAGGCGTGGATGTTCTCCTTGAGACCGCAGGCACGGACGCCACCGCAGATTTCGAGGATGTCGGCCATTCGGAAGACTCCAGGGAGATCTTGCAGGAGTACTTGATCGGTACCCTGAAGGACGCTAAAAAGTTTGTTCCTCCAAAGGCAGTCCGTGTAATTACCCAGAAGCCAGAGAAGACCGAAAACCCAGCAACCAATCGTTCGTCGCTCCTAGCAGTCACTGGGACCTTAGGAGCGGTAACGACCCTGCTCTACGTTCTGAATCGGAAGAGTCCCGGAGTTTTCGATATGAGAAGAGTTCTTGGCAGTGCCATGCCAAAAGAGTTCAGTGGAATCAGACTACCAGGCGGTGGATTCGCCAATGGATTCCTCGCAGCTACGCTTTTCTCCTGCGCAATTGGCAGCGTAGTGGCGCGCCAAGCTGCCAAAATGATGAAGATCGAACATGGGTTCATGCGCTATCCTCCGCATATCAAAGCTCGGAAAGTGGCCCGAGCAGACCCTCACATGGCAAAGGGCTTCCTCGACTCCAAAGAATACCAGCGTCTACCCCTGATCCAGAAGGATTTGTTGTCGCCCAATGTGTACCGATTTGTATTCGCTTTGCCTGATGCCAAGGGGGTGATTGGCCTTCCCATTGGACAGCATGTTGCCATCCGCGCTATTATTGATGGGAACACAGTGAGCCGATCATATACTCCTGTCTCCAACAATTTGGACGTGGGCCGACTCGAACTGGTCGTCAAGTGTTACCCTGATGGCCTACTGAGCGGCAAATACCTTGCCAACCTGAACGTTGGGGACGAGGTGGAGTTCAGGGGACCCAAAGGAGCCATGCGCTACAGCCGAGGGCTGTGTGCCAAGATTGGAATGGTAGCTGGCGGAACAGGCATCACCCCCATGTATCAACTGATCCGGGCTATTTGCGAGGACGAGCGTGACACGACCGAGATCAGTCTGATCTATGCTAACCGGAGCGAGGGGGACATCCTGCTGCGCAAGGAGCTGGAGGAATTTGCTCGCAAGTATCCCAAGAACTTCAGACTTTGGTACATGCTAGACGCGGCCCCCGAGGGGTGGATATATGGGTCGGGCTACGTGAATGAGACTGTCCTTCGTGAAAGGTTGCCAGTCCCGTCGGCAGAGACTAAGGTTATGCTCTGTGGGCCCCCAGGCATGGTAAACGCGTGTAAAAGGACCTTGGGCGCCATTGGATTCCAGACGTCAGGAACGATCTCGAAGATGAGTGACCAGATCTTTTGTTTCTAGGTAGAACATATAATATAAGACCCGATTAATGCTCCAGGTTTATTTTTCTACTCATTTTTTCACTGAAATTGTCCGTAATGCTGGGGGATGATGCCTGAGAAATTTGTTTGTCGTTCAACTTGAGCGACGATGGTCACTCAGCACGGGCAAGGCCCGACTGGCCGGCAAATCAGAGGGGCTAATACGTACGGCTTAGTGGATGAGGTTATGACAAGGGTCAAGAGGGTCTGTCATCTCGATGCCTGAGATAACGGACCAAGCCCGAGTACACAGTAAGTGTGGTGTTACTTTGTGAGCCGTTATGTGTCATTTGTGCGTGGTTGGGAGAAAATGGAGCATTGTATGGACTAGTCTTGCCAGAAAAGGCAGGCCGCAGTGGAGGTAACTAGGCCATACTTGCCTAACCGAGACTGGTGGCTCCATCCTGACAATTAGGCGCTCCACCTTCCAACTTGGCTTCGACTTTCTAGAATTGCTTCTCTCGCGTTATACCTCGGCTCACCTTCGCTCTGCCCTATTGCGTGGCCTAGTTTGTTTAGTGATCCCGGTATTTGCTTCATAACTTTTCACCCCCCAATCACTGCTGTTTCAATTGTTGTTGCATAATTGTTGTCTTCTGGTTCATAACGGCCTCTGCTCCCGACCAATGTACAGATGTGCTCCCTACTGTAGATTACGTCCTTGTCATTAAACGAGTGCCAAACAACCGAGGTTCAAAGACTTTATCTATATGCCTCACACCATTGAGAGGGTCCCGTTTCCAGGCTAACGACTCTCTGCCGTGTTTTCGTTGAATCGCATCCACTCTACATTAACTGGTCTTCCTTGGAATAGAAATCCTTTCCGGTCTTAGGAAGAGTGGTAGGTGTCTGTTGCAACGTCTGCTTGAGATTGTTGCCTCCCTTCTGGCTTTTCCTGCTTGCCTCGTTCAGCTGGCTGCTGACGATGCGTATGCTGATAAAAGATTGGGCTCGCTTAATATAGAACCCAAGCGTCAAATGACACAACAACAAGACATGGTCTGCTCTGATTGTGCTGAAGCCAGCTAGGGATAAGGGAAGTAGCAAACGGAAGATCATGTAGAGGATGTAGGTGGAGTAGGGGACGCCCGACCGGGCAGGCGCGAGGCGTTGCATGCGGCAGCCTGCCATCCTTCAGCAAGCTGGTGGCCTCATCGGATATCATATACAAGTATCTGCTGTATTATTCACATTCCCAGGATAATTTGTGTCCATCAAGGTCACCGCTTTGCATACTAAGACAGGGCGCACGGCCTCGACACCAATCATAATATCTTGGTAGAGGTCCATTGACATTGCTGATGTCTCATAAACAGATCTTATCAATCTACTTCGTAAGCCTGGCCACATCCCCCCACGAGATCATTCTATTCCCTAGCCGCCCCGTGAATTCTCACAGACATATCTAATACTTACCTTTGCAGTCAAGTTACACGCTCGATGGTCGTCACAATTGACTGGGCCCAGGAAGGCGGGAACGTTCGCTTGACCGGTATTCATTGTGGCAAGAATCGCCGTAGCAAGAGCTGCTTGTTTCGTGCTTGTTTGAGCCGCGTTTGCCAGACCCTGATCCTTGATCAAAATGCGCGTTGTCAGCAGCCAGCTGAACGAGGCACTGCTGGGCATATTCAACCATTTGGAATACCCCTACCGTACTTAAGATGCTTGTCTGCCATCCAATGTCTCGGAAGAGGGTGTATAGCAAGCAGCCTCGACTGATCGGATCCATCCAACATGAGATATCGGACCCATGAAGTGGAAGTTATACATGTATCTGCTTTTGAGAAGCACGCCAAATCCTAACCTGTTATAGATGAATGCCCACATAAAGCGCTCAATCCTAGTAGCCCCGTTTGTCATGATGAGTGCCACTGGAACAGCTTTTGTGTGCAAAATATCAATCACCAGACTAAAGCATAAGGTATTTGTATGAAGCAATTTTTGGTCCGTTCTTATGAACAAGTGATGTATGTCAGCATCAATCGGGCTGGTCGGGGTTCGCATAAGCTTATGCGGCTTGGCGGCCCCACGTGTAGTACTTCTTACACTTCAGCCGGAACGTTGAACTGCAGTCCTTCAATTCATATTGTTCCTTGTCATTGAAAAGTGCGAATGAAAATCGGAGAAGCTGGAGCCGGGCGTATAGTTGTGCCTTTTCTTCTGTACAACATTTCCAGCGCAGGGCCCAGAAAGTCTAACTACTACGATGAGCGCCATATCCCCCATGCCACAAAGTCCGACTGATGCTCCCTCTCCGGTTCAGACTTACGCCCGCACTTGCTCTTCCTGTCGACAGCGAAAGATAAAGTGTGACCGACAACGGCCTTGTATCAACTGTAGTCGCTCGGGCGTGGAATGCATCTATCCCCCTGGACGCGGCAGGGCCCCTAAGCGGCCCCGCAATGCTGTGAACGCGCAGTTGTCACACCGATTAACCAGGCTCGAGTCTATCATCAGGAGCTTTGAGTACCATCAGAATCAGGGAAGCTCAACTCCCGATTCTGCTGCGCCAGTCACGATATCGTCTCAAGCAGAAAGCAAAGTGTCAGAAACTTATCGTATCCAATCTGTCCCCCACACGACCAATTCAGACTCAGGAAATTCAATCGAGCAGCATCTAGGCCGCTTATTGATAGATGAAACACGGAGCTATTATGTCAGTAATGTGCTCTGGGCGAATCTGGGTGATGAGGTATGTCCGGGTCTCGACCAAGATCCCCACTACTTCCGTTCGCTTTCAAGCTAACGAGTAACGGTGCAGATTGCAGAACTGCGGGATCTACTACATGAGCCCTTGGAAGAAGAGGACTCTGCCTTTTCGGAGGAGTCCGCTCCAGAGCGACCTCTGCCCACAGGCTCCAATGCTGCAATATTGGGATTTCGGGCTCTTGCTCATTCGCTTCATCCCTATCATCCACCCTTGACTGAGTCGGTAACTCTTTTCGGGGTATTTCAGGAGAATGTTTCCCCAATGGTGCGTATCTTCCACATGCCCACTTTACTTCGCAACTATTGGGATGCGGTCGCGTCTCTCGAATCGCTCGACAAGGATACCGAAGCACTCTTATTCGCCATATATTACTCTGCAGTCATAAGCATGGAGCCCGAGCAGTGCCTAAGAACTATTGGCGTCTCCAAGGCACATGCTTCAGAGACCTATTTGTTCGCCGTAGAACAGGCCTTGGCCCGTGCTGACCTGCTAAATACGCAAAGCGTGACGCTATTGCAAGCTGCCGTGCTTTTCCTTTTCGCGCTACGCAACGAAGATGATTCCCGGACCGTCTGGTCGCTCACAGCACTCATCTTTCACATCGCACAAGCTATGGGTCTCCACCGCGATGGCATCGTGTTTGGGCTCAAGCCTATGGAGACAGAGCTACGCCGGCGGCTGTGGTGGCACATTTGTCTTCTAGATGCTCGCTCATCAGAGTACCATGGCTGCGAGCCAATTGTGCGGGACTCAGCCTTTGACACGAAGCTACCTCTCAATGTTGAAGATGCTGACCTGACTGCCGACATGAGCGAGCCACCCATTGAGAGGGACGGTGTAACCGGCATGTATTTCTGTCTTATCAGGTGTGAGGTTATGCAGACAATGTGGAAGCTTAGCTGTGTGGTTCCAGGCTTGGGAGGCCCGAGAAATGGGACTGGCAGACCGTCCTTGAAAGAACGTGAAGCATTAGTGCAGAACCTACACGATCGCCTTGAAGAGCGATATTTACAGCATTGTGATATCTCACAGCCTTTTGGCTTGGCTTCAACATTCGTAGCCCGTCTAATGGTTGCACGTGCGTGGCTAGTTGCACGATACCCTTTAGATGAGAAGGAACATGGTGACAATCTATCGGACTCTGTGCGTGATCAACTCTTCTTGTCATCTATTGAGGTTCTGAAGCTATCCAGCTTGGTTCTCACAAACAAAAGAATTGCCCACTGGAGTTGGCACTCAAAGACGCACATTCAGTGGCATGCCGTTGCCTTTGTGCTCTCTGAGATCTGCACTCGGCCCCCTTCGGCAGACTGTGACCGCGCATGGGAGTACGTCAATACCGTTTACAACAATTGGAAGATGAAGGAAAGCGGGAGAAAGGGTACCCTATGGCGGCCTATCAGACGACTGATGGCCAAGGCACAGTACATACGAGAGATGCAGGAGCTTGACCCTGCTGACAGAGGGAGACAGCGAGCACCGACCAATCGAGAAGATATGCAAGGGGCCCTAGGCCCCGAACTGTGCTGGGATACGAACACGGCATATGTCTCTACACCTGTCGACCCAACCTGCAATGTAGTAGGGAATCTTCCTAGTGATTTCTTGACGGGAACTTTGGGTCCCTTTGAAGAGCTTTTCCCGGGTGTTCCGCATGTCGAAGGCTCCGCTTATGAACCGTGCGACAATCTCGGACCAATGCACCCTCTTCTTAATGACTCCCATATCCCTGAGTGGCTGGTCCCGGAGTGGGCGAGGGAATTATCAGGCAATCAGACATAAGGTGAAGCAGGGGACACATCTTCCCTTTCTTCGGCATACTGCAGGTCTCACATCATAAGACCATCACGTACACGATCCCTTGAGGCTATCCCAGCGAAAATCGTACCACTGATTAGCCTTGTTAATCCATTGCCATTTTCGTAGGTACGAGCATACAAAAGGCTTGACAGGAAGAAGTAAGGATAAAAGCGATTCGATACTAGTTTGAATGAGGGTGCACAGGGCGAGCTTTCAACATCTCCGTTCTGGTCGTGATGAGTGCGACCGAGTGGAGGAGCCCAGTCAGCCATGGGTTCTAAGCTCGATGCCATTGGGATCATACGGACGATGACTGAGGCAGACGGGGTTCGGATAAGCCTATGCGACCCCGGACCAAACTGCATGAGCCTTCCGTTCCGGCCATCGGTTGCGCATAAGACCAGTCTGTCCGGGGAACCCCTCTGCATGGACGCTTGTTAAATGGAGGGATTCCCCCCAAGTGAGGCGTGGCAGCACTGCTTGCTTGCTATCATTTCATCCCAAACTGGGTACTAACATCAACCATGTCTCTTGACCACCAAGAGCGTACCAAAAGCGAAGCGGTTTTGGCTCATCCCCTACTCTACGAGGCAACAACCCCTGATGTTCTGGTCGACTTCAATGGCCCAGATGATCCCTACCGTTCCATCAATTGGCCTTTTCGGAAGAAGGCCATCACGACCATTCTATATGGAATGACTACATGCTGGATCACCTTTGCGTCGGCGATCTATTCGGCGGGGATGCTGCCGATCGCGCACGAGTTTGGCGTTTCAAAAGAAGTATCCACATTGGGAATCAGCTTGCTGGTCTTTGGTCTCGGGCTAGGACCGTTACTGTGGGCGCCTTTGAGCGAGGTTTATGGTCGTAAAACGGTAACCATCCTGGTACGTGCCCTGTCATGCGACCGTTAGTCCAGAACGTCAAGTCACCAAGTTCAGTCATTCGAGCTGACTGGTGATACAGCCTTATTTCGTAGCAGGGATTTTCTCTTTCGGAACGGCAACCGCAAAGGATATCCAGACATTAATGATCACCCGATTTTTCTCTGGATTCTTCGGCAGCTCCAGCGTGGCGATAACTGGCGGTGCAATGGCGGATATCTGGAGGCCAGAACATCGCGGTGTGGCCATCGTCGTTTACTCGGTCACTCTCGTTGGCGGACCTTGTCTTGGTCCCATCATTGGCGGTGCCTTCGTGTCTAATAGTAGCCTAGGTTGGCGCTGGACAGAATACCTGACGGGGATTTTGATGGTAGTGCAATCTGTGCTGGACTTCTTGATTCTTGATGAGAGCTATGCACCGGCATTGTTGGTCCGAAAAGCACGCCGGCTGCGGCTGGAAGGCAAGAACTGGGCTCTGCATGCGAAGGTGAGTAAACGCATATGCTAAGAGACTTGTTGCTTCTTCAAGTTGGATCATTCTAACTAAGCAATAGCACGAAGAATGGGACGTATCGATATCCGAAATGTCGCAGAAATATTTGATCCGTCCTTTCCAGATACTGAATACCCCAATTGGGCTGTTCATGTCGATCTATGGGTCTTTCGTTTACGGTTGGTAGTCATTATTGGCAAGGGTTTTGGATGCGGTTACTCACTATGCCAACAGCGATTTTATATGTAAATCTCGAAAGCTTCCCCATTGTATTCCAGGAGAAGCGCGGCTGGGGCCATGTTACCGGAGGCCTTCCCTTCGTCGCCCTCCTCGTCGGAATCTTGGCCGCGGCTCTAGCCAACGTCTATAACAACCGATACTACTTTAGAAAGCTTCGTGAGAATAACGGCAAACCCGTGCCCGAAGCACGATTGCCTCCAATGATGGTTGGTGGGGTTGCCTTCACCGGGGGCTTATTTCTTTTTGCATGTCAGTTCCTAACCCCCCGATATGATTTGTTATGTTACACTGACTGGAAGTAGGGACCTCATCGCCTCACATCAACTATTGGCCATCACTCATTGGCATCGCATTCACGGGCTTCGGGTTTACCACCATCTTTCAGAGTTCAATTAATTATTTGGTCGACACATTTTTGCGCGTCAGCGCGAGCGCAGTTGCGGCCACCACTCTTCTTCGATCCATCCTAGCAGGTGTATTTCCACTGTTCGTGCAGCCGATGTTCCAGGGCATCGGAGTGAACTGGGGCATCACGGTATTTGGGTGCGTTGCGGCGGTCTTGATCCCTGTTCCCTTTCTCTTCTTTGCATCTGGCAAGAAAATCCGTGCAAAGAGTCGATGGAGCAGTCATGCTGTGTGATGTTGGATTCGCACTAATCGGCCCATGTATTTTCTGGCGTTTCGGTGGCTCTTGAAGATCCTCCGTCCAACTAGTCTTGCTTCTTTCCGGTACCTGCTCGACTCCACCTATGCGAGATGCCGTTGATAGTCATTGGGATACATAGAATGTGATGATGGCCGTCTCATATCCTAAGAGGGGACGTGACCAACCTATAATGTATGATGAGATAGTCAAGCTACAGATACTATAATAATAACTTTCTTTGATTCTACTTCGTATTGTAGGATGGTGGAGAGTCCTATGTAGGCACAGATAGTAAGTAAGATCTTGTGGGATGGCACGGCCTCTGGTTGGGCGTAAAGTTGGCCTGGTGGAGAAGGAATGTTGTCATAACCCAGCGCTAGCCGAGCGGCTTCATCCGGATTTGCGGAACCACTCCTCGGCAAGATAGTTGTGGCGGGTGGCTCTTCGGAACCGAGCATGCCATGTGTACGCATGAGTATCTTGAAAACTGAATGTGAATATGTGAAGAGTCAAAGCAGTTTACAAAGTATTCAATGTTCAATCACTTCAGTATGAGTGGCTGGTGGATGTGGGAGCAAGTTGGCCGCGATACCTTCCGTAACCGGATGAAAGGGTAGTAGATCAAATCAATTGGTTATGTCACCAAAGAGGCGATGACGTTTATGGAAGAATCAGAGCGAAACCCCAAAGCCAATCCAATCCCTAACTTTACTTACTTTGTTTAGTGTCCCCTCGGCTTGCCGATCGGATCCAATATTAGCCACAGTTCTTCTCTCAATCAATCACCGTCCATGAAACCCCCCCTTCATGCTGCACCATTATTTGGTCCCCTGTCGGTCCCACCAGATGGAACAACAACAACTTACCCCCCGGGGAATTCTGGATCCACTGGGGCTAGACTACCGTTAGTCATTCAATTCAGTCGGCAGTGGTCGCATCATTGCCGGTTTCTTCAGAGCCCAGGTACGTCATTGGAAAGGTCCGGTTTCTCGTCGCCACAAGGTCTCCTCTTTTCATTTTTCTTTTTATCCTCCCCGAAGCTATTTCACCAGGGGCATATCCTCATATCTTTAGTCTGGGCTGTCGCCATTTATACATCATCATTATCAGCATTATTATTACCTTTGTTCCATCGGTCTCTCAACCCGTCCAGTAAAGAAACACCTACCTTAGATATGTCGTCCAACGGTACCACGACGAGAAAGATTGTCTGCTTCTCAGGTATGTAAGAGAACAGTAACCCCTGTACCTTTGCTTGTATGCTTGCTTTTCTTGCGCCGTGGATCAGTATCCCCACTTAGACCATGCCGCCGCTAATCCGCGACCTATCGGACAGACTTCGATGGAACGATATTCATGCAAGACACAGGCCATGTCCTCTTCGATAACCTAGGATGTGGCGCCAAGCGCCGCCAGAAGCTCGACGAGCAAATCAAATCCGGCGAGCGCTCGTTCCGCGAAGTCTCCGAGGAAATGTGGGGTTCGCTACGGGTCCCCTTCGAGGATGGCTTCGACGTGATGCAGGAGGAACTGGATATCGATCCTGGGTTCCAGGAATTTCACAAGTTCTGTATTGAAAAGGGGATTGATTTCAATGTTATCAGTGCTGGATTGAAGCCTGTCTTGCAGAAAGTGCTGGACACTTTCCTGGGAGAGCAAGAGGTATGGTGATTTGATTTCAGAGTGGGAGTTGGGTTCTGATTGGGTAGTTGCTGACTGTTTGTCACAGGCTTCGCGCATTCAGATTGTCGCCAATGATGCAGAAATCAAATCCGACGGGTCGGAGTGGAAGCCGATCTGGAGGCATGAGACCGAGCTTGGCCACGACAAGGCGCTGTCCATCAAAGAGGGTCGTGCGCAAGCAGCAGAAGATGCCCTGGAAGGAGAGATCCCTCTTATCATCTTCATTGGTGACGGCGTGTCCGACCTCCCGGCTGCTCGCGAAGCAGATGTTCTATTTGCACGCAAGGGTTTGCGGTTGGAGGAGTACTGCATTGAGAACAAGATCTCATACATTGGCTTCGACTCATTCTCCGACGTCAAGCGGGAAGTAGAAGCGATCATGAAGGAAGACCAGGAGAAGACCAAGGGTGTGGGCAAGCCTGCCCGATTCAACCCCCGGGCTAACATGTGGCGGCGGATTTCTAGCAGGCAGGCTGTAAGTTCATATTCGAGTGTTGCAGTTGCACGATTCATCCAAGCTGACAATATCACAACAGGTTCCGAAGTTTGTCGCTGCGACGCCATCCAACGAGGAGAAGATGTTCCTCTGGCCAGAGAGCTTCTCCGAATACCGACCCAAGAATGCGGATGATATCCGAGTGTGAGAACCGATCTCAGTTAATGTGTGGATGATTCATTTTCAGGCGTTTGGTGGGGTGAACTGGGTACATAGATCCTAGATGTGTCCAACTGAATGTTACTTATAATCTTTTCTATTGGGTTTCGTGTTATATTTGGATATGATTGAGAACTGGGACGGCGTTATGTTGGCTTGTACACACCATGAGAGCTTGAATTTGAGCGCTTGGTGTTACTTAGTGGAATGGGATAGTGACCATTACATGTCAAACAGAGAAATGGATATTGAGATCCCGAAAAGGAAACTGATGCGAAACTCTCCGACAAGCCATGTGGCATCGAGGGCCAAGCAATTGCCAAGAGCCGACAAGCTCTGGAGTATATCCCCTGAGAAGATCATTGTGTTACTGGTGTCCAACCCTGGCACTTAATATTGCTGCCTTATTGATTGACGGAGTCGAAATGGGGCTGCTTGCCGATACGAATTGTCCTTGTGCACAGCCCTCACGAGGATGATTTTCTACGCCAATAATCAGGGTTATATCCTCTTAGCACAGTCGCACACCCTGATTGATATGTTTTGCCCAATCGACAAGATTTCTTCAGCATAGAGCCCTCACCTTGCAACAGATGTAATGGCTGATGCCTAGTGTGGCTGCAGCACAGCCTCGTAATCTGACCCTCCCGTCGCGCTGACTGCCTAATCGGGGCAAGTGTTGTCGGACCCCGCCGAAATATCCAGCTTAGGTGTATAGTAGTAGAGAATACTATAAGAGTCTTTGTCCGGATGGGCGCTGTCTCACCCCATATTTTACTTATTTTCCACGTCTCACGCCCTATAATCTCGTGGCATTGTTCCTAGACACCGTCAGCGATAACGCTTCCCCAAAAGTTATGGATCTCAGAGCCAACCTCGTCAAGGGTATCGCATCCGGCATTGGTCTAGCCTCGGAGAGCATATCAGCCTACAAGGCAAGTAGAGAAGAGAAAAAGGCGAATGCATCGGACACAGGTAACACTGTCAGAGAAGCGACTACAGAGGATGCCGACGAAGTCGAGCAACTCATCAACGAACAACATGAAGAGGAATGGGTCCTCGACGAGGCGCAAGATGAATTAGCTGGGGATAAGCACCGTGCCGACTCAGAGCCTGCCGGTTGTGATATCGAGGGTTTAGCAGTCTCGTTTCTTCAGCATTATCCCGCTCCACCTCTGTACTCTCCCACGTCGGATTTTCCCAGACTGTCTTGTCCTGTGGTGCTGCCTCAGCGAAGGCCGAAGTCTCGCAAGCGGGGCTTCATTCGAGCCTATGCTCCTGTTCTGGAGGGCTTTGGTATTGACAAGACTATGTTTCTTGACTTTCTGGAGACGTCGAACCGAGCGTGTCAGGCGACTCCGTGGTTGCAAGCTATTAATCTGGCTTCTATTGGGACTATGTTCATTCCTGAGCCTATTTCGATAGCTGTTTCGATTTTGATACAGTTGGCGACTGATGTGGCTATGGCTGTTGATGGTAGGAGAAGGTAAGTCTTGTGTGGTAGGGTGTGGTGTTATTTTATGTGATGCTGATGCATAGTATACAGGACGAACAAATTCTTTGACAAGATCAATGATGAGTTCTTCCGCCCTCGTGGTCTTTTCTGTTTGGTTATGACATGGAAGCCCGGGTCCGATTCGCCTTACGCTACCTTCGACATGAACTCCACGATATCCACGGCCATCGAGCATGGTGGAGCAGGGTTGATGAACAAGGTTCGGCATAGACTCAAGTCATCGGATGCTAAGACGCACGGCGTTTTGCCCTTCTCGGAATGTGCCCCTCTTATCTTTCCCGATTTGGATGAGTTAGCAGAACATCGAGGAGACAATCAATCTAAATTGAAGGGTACGAAGCGAAGGAAGGAGTTCGTCTCGGATTACTGGGACCGGAGGTCACAGGCCAAATTTGTATGTCTCGGGACCACATACTAATGGGTAGTGGAACTGACCTGGGGGTTTTAGATGATGAAGAATCCCGATAGTGCTTTGAGCCAGGGTCATAAGCCAACGTTCACATCACGTTATGCCGACCCTAGCCATCCTGCCAGCAGCGGCTCCTTGGTCGGTCTACTTACGGGTGGACATATGACTGGTGAGAGATTAGTGCAACTTCGAAGTGGCGTAAATGGAACCGATAGAAGAAGAGGTCTCGGCAGGCAGTCAATTGAATCGCCATCTTTGTCCCTTGGAGGGCTGGCGGCTGGTATTCGTGTAGCCAGGTTCGGACAATTACCGATGGAAGATCCGCAAGGGCAGGATGAGATGCACCGCGAAGAGAGTTATCAGCATTTACCTGCTCATACTTCGTATGGCGGCCAAAGCGTTCCTGGTCGTGGACGTGGAATCAGAGACCTCCGCCAGACAGGACCTCTAGGAAGTCCCATTGGAGGAATCAAGAAGCTGCTAAAAGAGGTACTTATGATACCTTTTCCGATGGCTTACAGATGCTAACATGATGGCAGAACATTATTTATCTCATGATTGTCAATATGCCTTCGGAGGAAGATATGGAGGCAGCTCGGCGGATTCTCCAGTCGTGATCACTGTTCTGATCGTGCATCGATCAGTCACTTTATCTTTAGCGGGTCTTGATAGTTTTGCTGCTTCATTGATCTGTTTTTGTAGATTTAGCGATGCTAATATATTACTAAAACGTGCATAGTAATAATTCGGACTTTTTATGGTAATGAGTACCTGCATCGTTTCTGTTGTCAATAGGCAGTTATGGGATGCGACTCAAATGGTTCCTTAAAAGCCCGGGCTTTTGTCTCGTCGCGCAGAACCATAG